AGGAGGATTACTGACTGTATTTCCTATGCTGTACTTTACATCCCTGTGGCTGTTTTATATGAGTTTTGCTGATTTTTTAAATGCTGATAAGGTTCCTACCTACCTCAAAGGATTATTATGAAAAGTATATATATATTTTTAAAGTATGTAGATTACCAATACTATGCCTCACACCAGCTATCTATTAAATAAATAAAAAGTAGTCATGAAGTGAAATTATTTAATAAAAAATGGTTTATAGTTCCTGTAACATAGCTCCAGATGATACTTCAGGAGGATATACTTAATTACCAGGGTGGCTAGCAGTGTGAAACAGTGCCTATTTCCCCACAGTGTTGCCAATATCACAGCCCTTCGTTTTACACACTTTTCCTTGTCTAGACAGTATGTAATGGTATGGCAGGGTTACTTCAACGTCCTTTAATTGCTAGTGAGGCTCTGCATTTTTCCTTTGGAGGATTTTTGTCTGTATTTCTTTGCCTAACAACTATTTTCAAACACTGTAATTTCCACTGGCTTATCCCTGTAGACATTATGTTAGGTTCTGACATAACATTTTTCTGACCAATTAAAAGAAGAAGAAAAAAGAGGACTAAGGTGAAGAGAGACAATTAAGAGGAAACATTCCTACGGAAGGGATAGAGACTACAGGACAGAGGTCTCAGAAGCAATGTGTCCCCCTAGCTCACCCGTGGGCAAAATATGGCCCGCGGCCGGATCCAGCCTGTTTGAAATGAATAAAACTAAAAAAAAAAGACCGTACCCTTTTATGTAATGATGTTTACTTTGAATTTATATTAGTTCACACAAACACTCCATCCATGCTTTTGTTCCGGCCCTCCGGTCCAGTTTAAGAACCCATTGTGGCCCTCGAGTCAAAAAGTTTACCCACCCCTGCCCTAGCTGGTTTGGTTCAGTGGACAGAGCATCAGCCTGCGGACTGAAATCCTCTCTGACATCAATAAAAATATATTTTGAAAAATAAAAATATATTGTAAAAAATAACAAAGAAGCAATGTGTCCAGTAGAACTTGCTATGATAAAGGAAATCATTTGTATCTCCGCTGTCCCTATGGGAACCAGTAGCTACATGGGTCTACTGAATACTTGGAACCTGGCTAGTGTGAGTGACTGAGGGATTGAATTTTGGTTTTATTACATTTATTTATTTATAATATTTTAAAAATTGATTTCAGAGAGGAAGGGAGAGGGAGAGAGAGATAGGAACATCAATGATGAGAATCATTGATCAGCTGCCTTCAGCACACCCTCCACTGGGGATAGAGCTCACAATCCACCCAGGCATGTGCCCTGACTGCAATAGAACTATGACCTCCCGGTTTTATAGGTTGACTCTCAACTACTGAGCTATGCCGGCTGGGCAGTTTTATTAAATTTAAATATTAAATAGCCACCTTATTGATGGCATAACCCTAGAGATTAGGAAAGAAGAAAAAGTAGGGTTGAAAAGGGGTGTGCCTAGTCATTCTGAAGTGGCCTTATAAATATGAAGGGACTCAAATTTAGATTTTTGGTATGATTCCCAATGAGACAGTCTGAGACAAGGTGTGTTCAGTTTGCAAAAATCTATCAAGCTATATACACTGATGATATTTCCACTTTTCTATGTGTATTTTACATTCAATGAAAATTTAAACTATATTTGCCACACTTTGTGTTACACTCTTTAGGCATTTTTGTCTCAGGGGATAGAGCGTTGGACTGGGGACTGAAGGGTCCCAGGTTCAATTCCAGTCAAGGGCACATGCCTGGGTTGCAGGCTTGATCCCCAGTGGGAGCAGTGCAGGAGACAGCCGGTCAATGATTCTCTTTCATCGTCTCTCTCTCTCTCTCTCTCTCTCTCTCTCTCTCCCCTCCCCCCCCCCGTTCCTCTCTGAAATCGATTTAAAAAATACATTTTTCCTATTTTTATTTTAACGAAGTCTCCAAAAATAGAAGTGGGCTGTGACTAGCTTTGGACATCTGAGAGCCCCTAGAGGGCGCTCATTCTGCATCAGAGACTTGAAGGCTTCCTTGCGAGAATTCACATACCACACATTCATTCCTTTAAAGTGCATAATTAAATTTCTACTCTGTTCACAGAGTTGTGCAACCATCACCACAGTCAGTTTTAAAATATTTTTTCATCACTGCAAAAAGAAACTCTCTGCCTATAACCTTCCTAACTCCGCCCTGTCTCCCTCTCCAAGCAACCGCTGATCTATTTCCTGTCTCTAACGATTTGCCTTTTCTGGATATTTCCTATAAGAGGAATCACATAAAATGTGGCCTTTTGTGTCTGACTTCTTTCACTTAGCATGCTTTCACAGTTTATTCATGTTGTAGCATGCATCTCTATTTCATTCCTTTTTAGGGCTGAATAATATTCCATTGTATGGATAGACCACATTTTGTTTATCCATTCATCTTTTGATTGATACACAGGAGAACTCCCTTCACCCAACCTGCAAACAAGGCCTTTGAGAAGAACCCAGCCAAATTCTAATCATTCAAATCCGGCAAGTAATTATCAAAAGAGCTGTTAGGACAGGGGCCTTCAAACTTGGTGCTCCTGACACTTCAGTATGGGGCAGTTGCCAGTCCACAGCATCTCCTCAGGAGTTTGTGAATCATGGCAGCAGATTCTGACTCGAGATGAAAAATAATCTCATAGATTTGCAACCTGCCCTTCCAGCTGGCCTGCAGATAAGCCTTCGCCTGCCCCAAATTCTTCTCTAGGGGACAGTCCTGCCTTCCCCTGAACCAGGGTCTAACTAGGGGCTGTGAAAGGACTCTTTGCAATAGTGGGACTGAGGCTTGTGACTGTGTCTTTGCCTGGCCTAGGAAAGAGAAGCTTTTAGTCCACGAGGCGCCATTCAACAGGCAGCTGGGCAGCTCTGGACAAAGCCATGAGCCAAGGGACAGTTTGACCTACTTGGCTGGGCATGCTGGCCAGGTACCTAAGGAGGAGGGGCAAATGTCTTGAGGAGTGTCACAGAGTGACAGCAGCATGACTGGCCAGGGGCAACTTTGGACCCTAGCTAGGCTACTCTGGAATTAGGGATTGTAATTCAGAAAGAGCCAACTAATTTCGGTGAGTGATATAAGAGGCAGCCATTTTGCACCATGAATATAAGAACAATAAAGGAGAGAGAGAGAGAGAAAGAAATAGAGATATAGAGATAGAGAGAGATAGAGGGGGATGATTGCTTTGCTGTTGACAGCTTTCCAAACCCTTGTATCCTTTTTTTTTTAATATTTTATTGATTTTCTACAGAGAAGAAGGGAGAGGGATAGAGAGCCAGAAACATTGATGAGAGAGATCGATCAGCTGCCTCCTGCACACCCCCCACTGGGGATGTGCCCGCAACCAAGGTACATGCCCTTGACCGGAATCGAACCTGGGACCCTTGAGTCCGCAGGCCGACGCTCTATCCACTGAGCCAAACCGGTTCGGCAAACCCTTGTATCCTTAATAAATTTCCTTTATTGCTTAGTATGAGATGGTGTCTCTACTTGCAACCAAAAGACCCTTGGATAAAGCAAGATACATTGTGCAAGTTCTGTGTCCATTAGCTACTATCCACTGAGAGAGAGGCACACACTCCACAAGTTAACTATAAATGATGTGGTGAGTGTGGAAACCAGAGCAAAATCCTCATTCCAACTGGAGTGAAGAGCAAAGCAATGAAGGAGCACCCACTGGAGCAAAAATGACACTTCAACAAATGCTGCATGAAATCAGTGAAGCCAGGCACCCAGAATAGGCATATTTGTTAAGACAAAGTAGAACAGAGGTTACCAGGAGCTGGGGGAGAGAGGAATGGGAAGTTGTTGTTTAATGGGTACAAGAATTTTAGCTTGAGCCTGGCCAGCGTGGCTCAGTGGTTGAGCCTCAACCTATGAACCAGGAAGGCACATGCCTGGGTTGTGGGATGGATCCCCAGTGGGGGTCGTGCACAAGGCAGCCAGTCAATAATTCTCTCTCATCACTGATGTTTCTATCTCCCTCTCCCTTCCTCTCTGAAATCAATAAAAATATATTTTTTTTAAAAAAAGGATTTTAGTTTGGGATGATGAAATGTTCTGGAAAGGGATAGTGTGAATGATAGCACACTATTGTGAATGTACTTAATGCCACTGAGCTGTCCCCTTAAAAATAATTAAAATGGTAATATGGATCATCACAATAAACAAAAAACAAATCACAAAAAGAACAATAAACAAAAAACAAATCACAAAAAGAAAAAATGACACCCAAGTTCAATCAGTCTTGAAGTTAGGGCATGCTGCGGGGGCGTCCGTTTCCAGTCTCTTCCAGTTCTTTGCCCAAACAGTGCAGTGGCTGTCTCTTCCAGTTCTTTGCCCAAACAGTGCAGTGGCTGCAGGAGCTCAGAAGAACTGCCGATGGAAGAGGAGGCCGCTTGCCCGCTGGCCAGGCTGCTATCTGGAGGAAAAGAAGCCTTGGCTGAGGGCACAGAAGAGGCAAAGGCCCTGAGGCAGGAACATGCCGGGGACTTTCCAGGAAGCAAGTGTGCGGGGCTGGAGCAGAGGGAGAGGGGGCACTGAGTAGGGGACAAAGTCAGAGAGGAAAGGGAGGGAGGGGGGCAGGTGAAGCAGGGCTTCCAACGCCACCAGGACTGTGGCTTTTACTCTGAGCGACCAGGGGAGCCAGGAAAAGGATGTGAGCGGAGTGACCGGGGCCTACCTGTGTCCCAGGAAAATGTACGCATCTTCCAGGGCTGGAGGGGCCGTGAAACCTCCCTCGGGTCCTCAAAGGCGGCTAGCAAACCCCCACAAGGCTAAGAACCCGTGTGGCCTGGGCTTTCCCTTTGTAATTTTGCCGCTTGTATCTTGGCAGAACCGCCTTTAACCCTTTCCTGCCTGTTTCCGGCCTTGTTTCTGCTCCGGGAAGCCCAGGCGGGAGACGGGTAGGCGTGGAAAGGGCGGTAACCTGCCCGGGCGCGCCGTGGCACTCCCTCCTCCCGCCCCCTGCACACCTTGGGCCACCTGGCGGGTGCACCTGCCGGCGCACGACCTCCACAGGCCCCAAGACTTCCTTCCCCGACGCCGGAGGACCTGAACGGTTCCCCCTCGCGCGGCCCGGCAGGAAGGGGCGGGCGCTGCCGGCAGGCGGTGCTGTAGCCCCACGTTGCCATAGCGACCCCGGCCGGGCCGGGGACACCGGAGCGCGCTCTGCCGGCTGCGATTGAGGCGGAGGCTGTGACACCTCATCCCGCCCCGGGACTCCGGATCCAGGCTCCGCCAGGCAGGTGAGCGCGCCGGTCAGGGGGCGCAGGTGGGACCGGGCGGTGTCGCTGAACGGTCCCCTAGCCCTCCCAGGCCAAATTCTAGCCTTAGGGCCAGCATCCACTCTGGGTTGGTCGTACCGGCTATCAAATATGTGACCATCACCTCCGGCCCGCGGACAGCTTCTTTCCGATGTCATCACAAACCCAACTGTTCTACTGGTTTCCCGGGGTTCCCAAGTAATTGTGCCATCAGACCCTTTCCCCTCCCCCCCGGGGGCACCTGGAAGCAAGGGAGGAGACAGCTGAGGATCCGTCCAGCACAAAAGAATCCCCTCCGAGGGCAGCTCATCTGCCCCAGGGACTCGGAGCACACATGATTCGCCCCACTTGAGCTCAGACAGTGCCTCCCGGGGAAGCCCCAGAACCCTGGCATAGCTCGAGGCACACTGAGCCCCTGATGTCCCTAACCCTTGCCAGCACCCTCTGGCCCCGCTGAAGCAGCCAACATGCCTATCTTCAAGTGCCCACCCAAGACACAGCCCCCGTGGAAGGAATGGGACCAAAAGGCCCAGAAGAATGGACTGAGACACCAGGTGTATGCTGTCAATGGTGACCGCTATGTGGGCGAGTGGAAGGACAACATGAAACATGGTGAGTAGGGGACCTTCAGGGGCTCAGGTGGGGTCTGAGCCAAGGAAACGGGGTACAGAACTCATGGGGGACATAAGATATGTCCCTGAGGCTCCTCCAAGGGGTGAATGCTGACCTGGACCAGCCAGGGACCTCCACGTGGAAAGGAACTCAGCCCTGACTTCAGCTGAGAGAAAGTCTCAGGGACCAGCAGGGCCCAAAACAGTCTCAAGACACCAGCCCCAGGCACAGCTGTGGCTCAGGAGACGCCAGCTCTGTCCCACCCTCCCCTCCGAGACCTGGGCTAGGCCTTCGACTGGCTAGCGGGAGGAAAAGGCAGCCGGAAATCAGCTTGCAATCGGGATGCTGGTCTTCAAACTCAGCCCTGATGTGGATTCTGACCAACAGGGGGTAAAGGAGGACCCCTCCCTTCCCTCAAGTAGCTGGGGCTCAGGCTTTAACTGCATTGGGCTCTGGGTCTAACCAGCAGGGGGGGCACAGGAGTCCTGTGATACAAATGAAGACCTGAAGGCAAAAAAAAAGTTTTCATTTTAAAAACTGGCATGACTTTTCATTCCAGTCTCGCAATTCCAGATTCTTGACCCCTCTTCTCTCCCACTTACCTGCATTGAGTGCAGTGGCGTCCATAAACCTGGGTGAGAATCCTAGCTCCACCAACTATGACTTGAGTGACCACCATGCCATTCTGGGCCTCAGTTCTCCCATCTGTAAAATGGGAGTAAAACCTATTTGTGAAGATAAGAGATGACATCTATCAAGCATGTAGCCCAGGATCTGTGCAAAAGGGAAAGGGTGTATGGAAGAGGCTTGTAATTTTATTTTTTTAAATAAGTTTTTATTGATTTTTACAGAGATAGGAAGAGAGAGAGATATGGATGAGAAACATCATCCATCGGCTGCCTCCTGCATGCCCCCTACTGGGGATCGAGCCCACAACTGGGCATGTGCCCTGACTGGGAATAGAACCAGTGACCTCTTGGTTCATGGGTCGATGCTCAACTACTGAACCACACCAACCTGGCAAGGCTTGTAATTTTAAATGGGACAGTCAGGGTAGGCCTCACTGAGAAAATGAGATTTGAGCAAAGACTTGCAGGAGGTAGGGAGGGAGTGAATATTTGGGGAAGAGCATTCCAGGCCAGGGAACAAGCAGGTACAAAGGTCTTGAGACAGAAGTATACCTGGTGGGTTCCAGGAACAGTCTGGAGGCCATCGCAGTTGGAGGGCAGACTGAAAAGTGGGAGTGGAGGACACAGAAGGGGGTGGAGTAGCAGGAGATGGGTCTCCCCGTGTGTTCAGGAGAACTAGAGAAATATACACAACATTTTCCAGAAACTGTCGATGAAAAAAATCCCAATTCTGTCCAGCCAGTGTGGTTCAGTGGTTGAGCATCGATCATGCACCAGAAGGAGGTTGCAGGTTCCATCCCAGTCAAGGCACATGGCCAGGGTTTTGGGCTCAATCCCCAGAAAGGGGAATGCAGGAGGCAGCCAATCGATCTTTCTCATCGATGTTTCTATTTCTTTCTCCCTCTCCCTTTCTCTTTAAAATCAATACAAACATACTTTTTAAAAAAATCCCAAACCTAAAGAAGTTTTGTGTGTTTTTTTTGTTTTTTAATATATTTTATTGATTTTTTACAGAGAGGAAGGGAGAGGGATAGAGAGTTAGAAACATCGATGAGAGAGAAACATCGACCAGCTGCCTCCTGCACACCTCCTACTGGGGATGTGCCCGCAACCAAGGTACGTGCCCTTGACCGGAATCGAACCTGGGACCTTTCAGTCCGAAGGCCGACGCTCTATCCACTGAGCCAAACCGATTTGGCTAAAGAAGGTTTTTAAAGTTTATTTTGAGACAAGGGTTTTGAGGTTAGTCCCGGAAGCAAAATCTCAAGGAATTGAGACAATGCTCCCAAGAATGGCAGTTTTGCAGCTTATTTTATATGTTAGAATCAAAGGAGAAGACATAAGGCGGGCACTTGAAATCCATGGGTGGGAGATTAAGGAGAAAGCAAAGCAGGGAAATCTCTAGAATTGGATAAAAAGTAAAATAGAGAGATACATACTCTGTTTTTTACATTGGTGGTTACAGGATAGTTAATATTTCACATACATAGTTTACAGAGGTATGTGGGTAAAGATAATAATGAAGCATGTTGGAGTTGTCTTGCCCCATACCGGGTTCTGAAGAGCATTTTGATATTTTAAGTATGCTTTTCTACATGCACAAAAACAATGGACAGGGCTTGTTCAAGGTAGAGAATTATCTATCACATAGACCTTAAGACGTGACTTCCCAACATAACTTACTCAGTTATGATTTTTTTTTAATGATTGAAATATCCCTCGAGGTTACTTCTAGCTATGGAGCTTGCCAGGCTTGCCAAGGTAGCCCCTTTTTGTTCACAAAACCCTGGCCAGCTGGCTTATCCATTCTGTATTATTAAAGAGATGAAACTGAAATCCTGGAGGGGCCAGTTGTTACTTGGGGTTTGTTTGCTATGTCAATCTGGCTTCAAGGCAAAGGACTGGAGAACCACCGTTTAAAGAAATGGAACTTTCTGGGTGTTTTTCTGAGCGCTGGTGGTCTCGAGCAGTGGTCAGCAAACTGCAGCTCGCGAGACACATGCGGCTCTTTGGCCCCTTGAGTGTGGCTCTTCCTAAGCCTTAGGAGTATCCTAATTAAGTTAATAACAATGTACCTACTTATATAGTTTAAGTTTAAAAAATTTGGCTCTCAAAAGAAATTTCAATCGTTGTACTGTTGATATTTGGCTCTGTTGACTAATGAGTTTGCCGACCACTGGTCTAGAGACGAGGCACAGACCCTGTCCCAGTCCCCCAGAATCACCAAGTCTAGGGGCCCCTGAGGCCCAGGCAGACCCAGCAACTGCCCTCCAGCCCCATGATGGCCACGTCTGCAGTGTTGGCCCATCTGTATGTCATCAGGAAAAGGAACACAGATCTGGAAGAAGAAAGGGGCCATCTATGAGGGGGACTGGAAGTTTGGGAAGCGAGATGGCTATGGCACCCTCAGCCTTCCTGACCAAGAGAAAGGAAAGTACCGGAGAGTATATTCGGGCTGGTGGAAAGGCGATAAGAAATCGGTGAGTGGTTCCCATCATGCCCTGGGATGTGGGCCAGGCTGAAAGCATACTGTGTGTGTGTGTGTGTGTGTGTGTGTGTGTGTGTGTGTGTAGGGGGAGGAGCCAGAGAGGCCTGGGAGAAAAGGTGGGGGGGATGGATTTGAGGAGGAAAAGGGGTACTGTGTGGGTAGGAGAAGGAAGGGGTGGGGGGACCCTTAAGGCTTCTCAGAACAAAACCCAGGAAACAGGAAGGCGGAGGAGAGACCCAGGGAGGAGCCTGTGAAACCCTGTGGCTACAAGAAGCCAGCCAGGCTATGGGCTGGTGGGTGGGGGAGAATCTCCTCCTCCTTCTCCCCACTCATTTCCTGGCTTTCTTTTCCCTGGACGGCCCTTTCTGAGAATCCCCCTTCTGGTGGGCCAGGATAAGAGGAGGGTAGGAAGAGTGGGAGCAAGAAAGCTGAGGTCACACCCTTAGTCATCTGACAAGAGAGGAAGGTCCCACGTCCCAGGGGTAGAAGCCAGCCAGAGGCATGTTCTCACCCATAAACATCAATATCCTCACCATAGGCCATGGGAACAGATAAAAACATATTTATTGCTATTGAACAACTGCTATTGCAATCCTGGCAAATGATATGGTACTTGAGCTAACTCTCACATCATCATCATCATCATCATCATCATCATCATCATCATCCCCATTTTACTGATGAGGAAACAAGCTCAGAGATGAAGTGCTTTGTTCGGGGTCACACTGCTGGCAAGTGATAGAGCCCAGGATTTCATGGTCTCTGCTTTCAAATTGTTTATTGGCCAGTGATGAGAGAAGTGTTAGGACAGAGCTTTGCACAAGGAGTCCAGAGGAACATCATTGAGCATTCACAGGAGGCTTCCTGTAGGAGTTGACACCAAAAAAAAAAAAAAAAAGCAAAGAGTTAACCAGGGAGAAATGAAGGAGAAGGGGAAGTAGCAAAGGAGGCAGAAGTAACAAAAGGAAGGATATGTCAGCAATGTGTGTGTGCCCACAGAGGTGGGAGTAAGGGGAGGGAGGGAGGTGTGGGCCTTGATGTGGGAATTCGGATGTGGAGGGAGGCTTAACCCAGCCTCCTTAGATGTGATCTGCAGGAGGTCCACGATTCTGTGACCGGGTGCTAAGTATGGTGTTGATAGTCATTTTACCTGGGAGGAAAATCCATAGCTTTGATCTGATGCTCAGAGGCATCTGTGACTTTTAATATGCGGGAAACGTATTTATACGTTTTACGTTGACTGTAAAAAGTAGAGCCACCTGTTAGCGCGCGATAAAAACTACCCGCAAACAATGTATTAATAGGGTCAAGTCAGAGTTGGGGCAAAGATAATCAGATGGGAGATGTAAAGATCCTTCTAGTTGCTGTAATGCTGGATGCACGAGGGCAGGGAGAACGGGAGAGTGGAGGTAGGGGAGAGTGAGGAGGGGAAGAAAGGACCATGGGCTGCATAAAGGCGGTAGCAGAGGGACAGAGGGAAATGGACAGCCTAGAGAGATTTTCAATACAGGATGTGGGTTCAGCGAGGAAGGAAGCAG